ACGAGTATTCAATGGTGACCCTTAAAGCTTTAGCTACACCTATCCAGCTCTAGATACTTATATTGTCATTAACTCATATCAATGGAGCACCCTGTCTAACCTTTACATTGTCATATGACTTTTGACACAAGGGATTCTACATTTGGTTGACCATTGACTTTGATACTACTGTTGAGCAATCGAGGTTCACACACATGCATGTTTCTATATTGTTCACTTTGAAATTAAATCTTCATGATTTTATTGTTGATCATCTACTAAAAGGCCTATATGTGTGTTTTATAAATATTTATTTCTCCTCATGATCCAATAATATAGGACTTTATTTGCACTCCAACAAAGTCTTTACTCTCTATTAAAAATGTCTACACACATTTTGCTCTTTTGAAAGGTAACTTTCATGTACATACAATTAGATAACAATATAATTATTATAGTCATCTCAAATTACTTTTTGTTTATCTTTATCTTTACATATATGTATGTGATTTTCTAAATCACACATTTATTTTAATTTTAAAAATTATCATAATTTAAATTATTTATTATAAATATAAAATATAATTTATATTTATATAATATTTATTTATTATTAATTATAATTATATAAGAATCAAATTTTAATTTGTATAATATACAAATTAAAATATTAATTAAAATCAAAATTTAGTATATTAATAAAAAATACATGGTAGATTTAATTTAAGACGATAATATTTCTTTAATAATAGACTATAATATAGAAATAAGTTAAATGAATATATAATACATATTTTTAAAGAATATGTTAATTAAGATTATGTTATTTCTTTAAAGTAATGAAATATTTTATTTTCAATTAATTAAATTATGTGTCTATTTTTATATAATAAATATTTAATTTTAAAACTCTTATATATGAAAGTCCTATTTATCGTTTTGACTGTAGTACATAAAATATTAAAATCGACTATGCCATTTACGTTTCACATTTCTATACGATAATATCATATTAATATGCTGAACAAAATATTGAGAAAATTTTGTCATAAAATGTGTTATGCAAATATGATAATATAACTCTAATGTCTTAAAGAATGTTATATAAATAATATAATAATTAAAAGAAAAACTAGCATTGGATCTCTAACAATGTGCGAGATTGTGGGCCAATCATATTTTAAAATTTTCTTATTTATATTTATTTTCATTTTTATGTTCTAAAATTTAAAATTGTTCGGGATAAAATACAATATTTATTATATTGTTATAAAAATAAAATTTTAATCTCAGAATTTATTTCCAAAATAAAAAAGTTTTAAAAGACATTAAAAATATAAAAAACTTATGCTGTAATTTTAGTTCAGAAATTTTAAAAAATAAATTAATAATTTTTAATTTTATTAATTTCCAGTATATTTATAAATTGAATAAGCATGATCTAAACTGTGACCGTTGGCAATGGGAAAATGTAGCCATTGTATAAAGTATAAAGTGACTTGATAGTTGATTCAATAAACCATAATATAAATTCATAAATCGAAATTCTAACTAACTATTATTATCCGGAATATTAGTCCCAACTAACCATTGATTCGTACCTTGGCACCTCGTGTGCACCTAAATAGTGCCAAATGTCAATTCATAGGTCCTGTCCACCAACTTGCTTCATTTTAAGGGAATTTTTAGAGGAATGGCTTTAACAAATTAAATTTATTATATTACCATTTTAATACATCCATTTCACATGTTAAATAATTGTTATATATAATTCTAAAGTTTTAATAAATTATATATTTAAATAAATATTATATTTAAATATTTAATTATATTTTAGATTAATAAATTTGAATTTATTTAATATTACAATTGATATATTGTGTTGATATTGTCTATTCCAAATATTATCTAATCTTAATTAGTTCAAATTTATAAATTTATCCCTATTAAATTTAAGCCAAATAGAAATATAAATAAACTTGTTACAATATATTTTGTGTCCATGGAATTAGCTATAGGAGAGTCAAATTTCATTCAATCTAACAAATTAACTATCATCACTCTCCTACAGAAATTGGTTTAAGTTTTATAGTCAAGCCATTAAATGATGGTCAACTCATTAAATAATGAGTTGTGTTAGGTTAGTATGCCGATTGACATATTACTTTCTTCAACTTTTATATAGTATTTTATGTGTAATTTATTTTTTTGTTAAAATTTATTTGTGATTGTATTGAATACTTATTTTATTATTGTTAATGAATTTATTTGTGATTGTATTTTATACATATTTTTGATGATATTGATAAACTTATTTTTGTTGAACATTTGAATCAATATTATTATTGAATACTTGAATCATTATTAATCTTATAACATATTTTTTATCTATTTTAATTATATCTAATAACAAATTTTGAAAATAATTAAAATAAAAATAATTTATAATTTTCTTAATAAGTTAACAAGTCAACTCAACCCAAATTATAATATTAGATTAACATGTCATTTTGGATTTAAAGGAAAAACAAACCTAATCCAAATATAATTTTAGAAAATTAAAGACATGTTAAGTGCATGTTTAGATTCTTATCCACAAATCTTAAATGTTGATTAAAAAAGTAACTATTTATTACTTTTAGTACATTTTGATATTAAAATGTGGATCATCAACGAGAATCCAAACACACACTAAACGAGAATCCAAACACACACTAAGTAGTATTTACCTATTTAACAACATACATGACAAAAAAAAAGGAAGATTAGTTAACAAAATACATAGCATAAAAGGAAGGTAGTGTTGGAAAAAGAACAAGCATTAGATCCAGAGAGACCAAATGGAATTGGTTATGGTTGCTGGTTCGGAGCACATGAGATGAACAGATCCATTGCATGTACTGCATCGTCGTCGTCTTCTCACTTGTATCAATTCAATTCATTAGTGGAGTGCCCATATTGCTTTATTCATTCCATAGGCATAAATCTTCTGCCTCTGTTTCTCAAGCCGGTTTTGTAGGGTTGAGTTAGGCTTAAATCCACTATTCTAACATGGTATCAGAGCCATTTAGATCCACTTTAAAAATAGGCCACCCACCATTGATGCATGCCTCATAGGCAGGAGGGGGTGTATGGGAAAAAACCCAAGTCCCGCCAATCCTAGATCATTAAAAAGGGTCACCTACCATTTATCCACGTGCCAAAGAAAGTGGAAAAAGAAGGATTTGAAGGGAAAGTGAGTGAAAAGTGAGGTTGTTTGGATTAAGGTAGTGTTTGTTTCGGGTGATGTACTGTTTACGAGCAACGAAAGGCGAGGAAAGTGTGTGTTTGTTTCCGGTGATTTGCAACGAAGGAAAAGCAAAGAAAAGGGAGGAGAAGCACTGTTGCTATCCTCGCACAAAAGCGAAGAAAGGAGAAGAAAGCCACGTAGGATTTGTGAAAACCCGAAAATGCCCTGTACCATGCATGCATAATCGATTATACGAAGGAAGCATAATTGATTATGGTTGGCCACATAATCGATTATGGCCTTGCATAATCGATTATGGCTAAACATAATCGATCGGCCGTATTGGTTTCAGTACGGCCGTACTGAAGTTCAAAAACTTCAGTATGGCCGTATTGGTTTCAGTACGGCCGTATTGTAGTTCAAATTGTTCAGTACGGCCGTACTGAACTTCTAGGAGGCCGTATTGAGCTTCAATCCTCCCACATCTTTATTTTAAGCTACTCTAAGACTTCTAAACCTACGAATAATCATCCTAGGGTCTTCCAGGGTCTTCCAGGAGTCCTTCCGGCTGACTTTCCTTCGGTCTTTGAGAGTCTTCGAGTCTTATTTCCGACCCGGACAATTTTAGGGGTCTACAGGGCTTCAAACAGACATCCACACTGCCAATTATCAAAGCACATGACTCATATAATTCAATTATCAACAAATCTAGTATACTCATTTATATTAGCAAATTCACTTTGAAAATATCAGAGAAATATTAGAAAAGTAACTCATAATCTAGTACTTTGATGCACCAAAGTGTCCTGTTATTATAAAAATCAATCATCAAATGATTCCAATGTCTCGATTCCACTTATATATACATATAAATTGACAACGGGTAACATAATTTGTAAATAACTAACAGAATTGATAAATACTTAAATTTCTTATTATTGCTTATGTATATAAAAAAGATTAATCTTCAACGAATATCACGTGATTTTGTTGATCCATACCAAGACATAGGAAGACATATAGTAGTGATCATTAAATGCAGACATAAATAAAAACAAAACAATCATTTGGAAGAAATTTTTGGCATCTCCTTTATTTGTTACTACAAAATAGGACATGCATCAGTGACCATTAAAATGCAAACATTAATAAAGAAATTTTAGCTAGCAGCAACTATAGTACAGTGCCTACAGATCGAGTTTACCGACCCTTTTTCTTTCCTATCTTCCTCTATGTCTTCCCTTTTATATTCCGTTCATCTTCTTCCTTTCTATCCATATAATTATTATTAGTATTTTTTACTCTAACCATTTCAGATGAAAGCTTAATTATTATTATCCTTATCATTCATTATTATCCATGCATAACTTTGAGGCATTTGCATCAAAATTTCAAAATCAAAACAATCATTCTGTAATAGAGAAATGGAGATAGAGAAAGAGTTTGAAATGGAAAAAAATGAAATGAATCATGGAAAACAAACCCTAAAATTGAAATTAAAGACAAAATCACAAGAGATATTACCACATGAGGATCCAAAAGGAGAATGATTTGACGCAACCATTGAAGCTATGCACAAAAGATAGAAGAAGCCATGACTAAAGCTTGAAATCGTGCGAGAGTGAGAGTGAGATGAGATAGTGAGAGAAAACTTGAAATGACGTTGCTCCAACACCTTTCCAGAACGTTATCTTCGACAACAGTGCATGACACCATTAGGTCATAATAATGCACATGAGGCCAATCATTACACTGAAATAGAGAGAGAGAAAATACACTACACAGAGGCCTCTTTAATTTTTTGTTAACTTTTTTTATTTTATTTTTTATTATTTCTTGAGAAACCTTAAAATTACAAAAACAAAAGAAGGTTACAACTTACAACAAGATACACTAATTAATTCTCTCATCCAAACGAAAATGTTACTGAATTGAGTAAGAGAAGGCGTAGAGGATGCAGCATTTAGAGAATTAGAGTAAAATTGTACACATCATTAGATGAAGATGGGATTCTCCGAAGGCATTTTGGGTGTGTCCATCAAGCATGGACTGAGCCTGAACATGAGAATGCAAAACTCCATTTGGCTGAGAGCACCATCTCCATCCAAATCACCCTCCATTAGCATGCATGCGAGCTCGTCGTCCCTAACGTCCAAACCGAGCAAGTAACAGTTCAACTTCAAGCTCTCGAACGTGATGAGACCCTTGTTCACGTCCATCAGCAAACGGAAGCCACTGCAAAGCTCTCCGATGAACCCTTCTGCTCCTAAGCGTGCAATCATTGAAGGGAAATAGTCCTCGAAGTCCATAACATGGTCCAGTTCCATTTCCCTAGGAACCTCTCTTTCGATCGGCTATGCTTTTTAGAACACTTTGTTGTTGTCCTTCTTCTTAATATTGTTCCTCACTCTCTCTCTCTCTCTCTCTCTGATTCTGCTGAGGAATGATATTGGTAGCTTGTCTCAGAAGGGTCTTCTGTTTATATATGATGAATAATCACAAACAGCCAATTAAGATATGGGGTTTTTAAATTTTAATATTATTATACCTTCTATTCATGAATCTTTCCTTGTAGTACCAAGATTGATTCTTGCCAAAATAATCTATCAGACTTTATTTACCTTCTAATTAATTAGTCTAAGATAAAGCATTATTAAAACACTAGCTAGTACAAAAAAGAAAAAAAAAATGTACTATAAATGATTTTTGAAACTTTCTCAAAGTATATTTATTATAATTGTACATTTATTACTCAAATTCAAAGTACTAATGATGTTTTATATGGGTTTTCTCTATTATATAAAAAATGTTAGATGTTTTTCACGTTTTAAGTAATATTAGTTGATTAACATTATTTTTACATGTTTTTATTTAACAAATTGCTATTTTTATTTCTAGATGTTTTTTTTTAAAGAAACAATAAATGAGAATATTTTGGATATAATATATTAAAATTAAATATTTTTTAAGGAGTGTATAAAACTTTAAATATAAAAAATTATATTTAAAAAAAAAAAGGATCAACTAACAAGTTGAAAGAATTTCGAACTGGTTCATTCTCACGTCTGGTTGTGTACTTTCCCTTCCATACTGTTACCACTTACCTACCGCTTATAATTACTTTTTCCCTCCCCTATGCCTATTTTTCTCACGAGGAAGAGTAGTTTTTCATGTCTACAAAATATTATTCCTTTTTATATCTCTGCTTAAACTAAGAACACATTAATTTAATTAGAATATGTATAAATTATCGGTACAATTTTTTTTATATTGTTATATAATTATAGATTGTTGTATATATATATGATATTCTTTTTATAATAATTATTTCAAGAGGTATATCTAAATATTAATTGATAATATAAAAAAGCATATTGACAATATATGGAGATTAATTTTTATATTAATATATAAATATATTTTTATTTATAATGTTTGTGTTATTTACAATTTATTTTATTTTATCCTGATATCTCTATAATGTTAAAATAATAATTTATTATTATTTAAGAATTATATATTAGGTGACATAAGAATACAATTAATAATAATTATTGATATGATCTCATACATTTAAATTAGTACACAGACAGAAATATTCTTTTCATTCTTTTTTGTTTGTCGGATTTTTAATAAAACTTTGTTTATATTTATTTATCAATTTCAAATTTTTAGACCACATTAATTATTATATAATCAATTATATTTTATATTTTATTTGCTTTTTAATTAATTTATATGATAACTAATATACATTTATTATGAAGTAAAAATAAAGAAGGTATAATAAAAAAAATTAAAATTATTGTCTAAAAATATGTATTCTTGTGTTACAAAAGGAGAGAGTAATGAATTAAAAAATAAAATTATGATGAAGAAGATTTATATATATATCTATTGTTGTGTGGGTAAATTTGGGGGCAATAATTTGGTTTACTGTTAAAAGAAGTATGGTAGTACTAGTCTGTTTAAAGAGGAAGGGTGTGAAAATAATGATGACAAGTGGCAGGTCAATAAATATGATGTGAATGTTTCAGTTTTGGAACTTATGAGAGCTTTTATTATTGCAACAAATGCTTTCTTTTTCACTGAGATGTTGTTCTCCTTCGTGGAAGGTGCGCCAGCTTTTTTTTGTAACCATCTCAAATGTACGCATTATTATTGATAACGTATACTATGTGAGTATTCACCACTATGCATATAGCCTCTACCCATTTAATGAGAAGGTTCCACATTTGTGTTTTATCTGATGTGACGCCGCATGTGCTTCTTCACAGTTACACTTTTTAAAAATTAAAATTAAAATTAAAAATAATTATGTGATGGCGTTTTGTGATTGGAGATACAGGATTTGGGGACAGGAGTCGGAAACAGAAGATTTTGATCCCTATACTATACAGTTAATGTTACAAAGACATGTACATATATAATCAACATAACTCATATTTTTTATTTATTTTATTTTTTTTTATACTTCACAAACATGCACTTTAAGCCTTTGTTTGGATTTGAGGATGGAAAAGGGAAAGTGGAAAAAGAAGGATTTGAAGGGAAAGTGAGTGAAAAGTGAGGTTGTTTGGATTAAGGTAGTGTTTGTTTCGGGTGATGTACTGTTTACGAGCAACGAAAGGCGAGGAAAGTGTGTGTTTGTTTCCGGTGATTTGCAACGAAGGAAAAGCAAAGAAAAGGGAGGAGAAGCACTGTTGCTATCCTCGCACAAAAGCGAAGAAAGGAGAAGAAAGCCACGTAGGATTTGTGAAAACCCGAAAATGCCCTGTACCATGCATGCATAATCGATTATACGAAGCTCTGGACTCGTAGCACTTGCTTTCGTTTCACTTAGTCATTTTAGTCATTCTATTTTCGTTCCTCAACATGACCATACCAATTAGTATCATCAAACTTTGAAGAGTTTGAACCACTCTCGTAATGAACCATTCTGATTTCTACCCAAAACAACATCTTTGACCAAAATTAATCAAAATTTGATGAAACTTACATTTCGCATAAATAACGTAGTACGTGGTGATTATCAATATAAAAAAAACAACTAATTGGTTCATTAAAAAGGGACTAACTAGCTTCTTATTATTCATGGTCACATAATACACCCGTGGTTTCATATTTTTATTAAAATCTTCGTAAATAAAGTTACGAAATCTTTGATGAAACATTGTTCACCGAATACGATTAGGCTCTGAACCATTCTAATTAAAATGAATATGCTCTTTTTGGAGCTCTAAAGTAAATATCTATTATTAAAGTTTATGACTGACTTCATCATTACGTATAATTATGACTTGTTATTAAAAATAGTAAAATTAAACGAGAGCTCTCTCCAACGCAGTATCTCATTATAAATGAGGAATAATAAAAGTATAATTTTTTTAACACATTTCCTTTTGTATTTTCTATTATTTATATTAAATTTTTTAAAATTTATAAAATTATAAATAAAATTCATCATTATAAATACATCCGTGAATCTAATTATTGATTCACATAACTATTTATTCCGATTACATACTTACCAAAATTATTGTTTTTATATGATTTCATCATTAATAGTAAGTATAACAAATGAAACAATCTATATATTAACAAAGTGAGAAAATGAATAATCATCATTTAACTACAAATTTAATGACACACATCATAATTGTTTCCTATAAACACCTAATTTTGTTTATTAGAACTATATAAAAATATAAGAATAACTAATAATACTTTTTAGATTAAAATAAATAACTTAAACTAAAAAATTGAAAATAAAATAACTAAACATAATTATTATTGTAATTATTTTTATCATTATCATTATTACTGTAGTTACTATTTTCATTTACTTTCTTCTTTTTGAGATGTTGTCACCTTTCTCCCGCCCTCAAACAACACCACAAACACTTCGGATCACACCCTCTCCCACCCCTCATCTGCAAATGTCTTACCATTGATCTTGAACCTTTGCGAGCTCTCGCCACCGTCAACCTCTTGCCCGTTGACGCCATCCAAGTCCAATACTACAACTTCATCCACCTCTACAACTATCACTAGATCTACAACCTCCCATGTCTCTTAGTCTTTATAGATCTATAAAAATAAAAATATGTTATCATTTATGAATGCTAAGAACACAAAATAATGTGAACTCCTGAAACATATAACGTATTGTTTTAGAGGACTTATTCAGAGATTTTTATGCAAGTTCAGAATATAACAAAATCTTTCCAAAATTATATAAGAATCCAGAACTAGCAAGTTTTTAACCTAAAAAATAGAAAACATAGAAGAGAGTAATGCTTAATAAATATGACTCCTACTAATTCTATTTATAGAAATGGATATTTGTTTTGAGTATAATTAATTACGAAAATTAAAATCAATTAATTAATTTTTAAAATATTTGATAATTAAAATTACAACTATCAAGTTATTATATATTATTAAAATCAATACTAATTAGATTTTAAGACTTGTAAATCATAGAATAACTATTATAAATTTAAATTTAAAATAACTTTATAAATTAATTAACTTTTTAAATATCTTAAAATATACACAACACAAATAATAAATGAGATAAAAGACACAAACAACATAAATCACCCTACATGGAACAATCACCAATATTGAAAACACTGTAATTTTAAAAGACATTACGTCAAGTATAATTTTAATGATGTCCTATATTATTTTCTACATCAATTCATATTCAAATCCATATAAAATACTTCATTTTAACATTTTGTTAAATTATAATTAATGTAAAAAGTATTATATTACACCAATTATATATACTAAAACTAATGTAAAAACTATTATATACTATGATCAAAACAGTATAATTATCATTATTTTTGAAATTGTCATCCCACCGCATATTAGTTCAATTGTAAAGTAGTACATTAATAATATCTTGTTAAATCTTGTTTTTTCACTAATGAAATTGGTAGGGGGGGAAATTGTGTCAACATACACTTTTGACATAGCGTATGATTAAACTAAACACACCAAATTAAATATTTTTATAAAACAAATTATACATTTAAAAGTAGATTGTACTGATGCCATTCAAACAATATATGTCTAGCTAGTGACTATTATATTATATTTTGTATTTTTAAATAAAATAAAGTTCATACATCTGATATAAAACACACTAAATATTCAAAACTCCCTCCAATATATGAATGTCAACATCACCAATGAACTTTGACCTCCTATTTTTTAATAAATATATAATATAATGAAATGGTTACACGTTGCATCCCTCCTCTATGAGGTGTGAAGTTCAGTTCATAATCACATTCATAATATATGGTGAGGATAAGCGTCCGTGGCCCCTCAAATGAGTTTTAAAAGCATCCTTAGACAAAAGCTACATTTCCAATTGCTCATGTCCTTTCTCATTGGACAAACGCAAGTTTATCCCTTATATACCCTTTAAAGTTGTTCTTATGTCCTAAATCATAAATCTGTTA